TTCATTCGGGGGGGGGGGGGGGGAGGGGGGCGTACTCATGTTTTGCATGCCTCTGTTGCTAGACCATTGACCGCACGTCCTCGAGAGGACGGAGCCACTACATGGGTTGGGTGGGAATACACAACGATCGCGTCGGAGTGAGCTTGGTGGGTAATACCTACGAAGCGCGGGGACGGCGGAGTTGCCACGCCATCGTCGGCTTCCGATTGATTCTACATAGAGCAAAGGGGGGGTGGAAGATCTTCCCGAACACCGTGAATTCTTGCTTACCCGGTGATCATCCGTCAATCGACTCTAACAGCGTCAGCCATGTGGCAACCGGTGTATATTTGCCCACGCATCTCTTGCGACACGTCGCAAGGAAGAAGGGGTTGCAGGTTGCGGATGAAAAAATCCCCAACATTTCTAGCCGGTGCGGAACAGCAGTAGTGGAGAGCAAGAAGAGACCCGAAACAACATACCTGCGCCGCGAGACCGAACTTGTTCCACTGCGTACGCTCCAGGCAAGACTTGTGCACTCGCGTGTGCTCCGTGAAGACCTTGACCTTGGTGGTCCGCTTTACCTGTTGTTAAATCATTGATCGTTGTTGATGTGGCGGTTATCAATGATGCCGTTGCCGCTTTTTTTTTTTTTTTTGCAGCAGGACTAGTTTTACCAAAGACAACTACCAGGTATTGCTCACTGACATCGTGTAGCTGGTGTGCGATTGGGACTGAACGCTACATACCGCGGGCTTATCCACGTTTGCCGTCTCAAAGGCATACTGTGGCTGGCATTGGTGATATGCTGCATGTTGACCATCTTCCGTCAGAAAGACGCAATGTGTGACCCACGTTCTACTGCAGAGGTCCACGGACAGGTGCCTTCGTCCGGGGCCTTATCACAACGTTCCTAGTTGGCAGTGTTGTTGCAATTCAAAGCGGCACGGCAACAAGCTCCGTGGACCAAGCAGCAGTACGATTGCAGCTTGTACAAGCAGGAGCAGCGAGAGTCATGGGCGGCAGTATTCCGGTGCTGAGCTTCGCGGAAGCGAGCGAACGAGCGAGTCAGTAAGGCCCCCGCTCACCTTAGCACCGTTGGTGTTGAAGTGGTACTCGACGATGCTCTTGACGCCCTTAGAGTCCACCGCCGACTCTTGGCGAGGGGGCAAGTAGTCGTCATCGTCATCATCTCCCCACGCTTGTCGTCCAGGCATGATCGAAGTAACACTTGGACCACAGAGAGGTGGCAAAAGAAGGAAGCGGCGCAAAAAATGAATCGATCTTGTCATAAACATGAGCGAACGCGGGAAAAGCCTCGATCGTGGAAGGTCGGAGGGCAGCACACAAATTCCCCGTGGTTGTGTTTGTCGTCCGTACTTTGCGCCGATGTGAGAGGACGTGTGTACCTCTCAGCGCACCTTTAATGGCGACGCGTTCGATGAAACGAAAAGCAGCACTTGGTCTAGAAGGCAACAACGAGGGATGTAGTGGATTAGTGTGCAAGACAACAGCTGCGGCGTCCAGCACACACATACAGAGCACAATTGGAACGGCCGCTGCCGCTCGTTTACGTCGACCGGTACTGCAGGCTGGCTAAAACGTCCCGTAATCGCACACGTGCTAGCCGCTACGGGTGTGCTGCCCATATAAATAACATAAAATAGACCAAAGAGGTATGCCGTTGAGTGTCATTGCTCCTCCTGGAGGTACAATACAGCAGGGGGAGTTTGTCGCCTACAGCAGATGTAAATTCGACTGCTGCATAGTTCGCGCATGAGAGGGGAGATATGCACCAGTATTGTGCCGGGAGCATCTCCGAGGGAGCTTGGCAAACGCACATCGACCCAAACGCCGCCGCATTGCCAACATGATCACACGACCGGAGGACGTGCATACAAACGGCAGCAGTTCTCCCACTCTCGTACCGAGCTCCGTGAAAAAGGTGTTGGTGCAATAAATTGCTTGCTTTATTGAAATGCTCTGTGCGAAAACACGACGACATAGTACACCACCAAACAGAAAAATATCGTCCATCCACGCTTTCCTTTTCTTCGTATGGTCGTGCAATCGATAGTCATCGTGTGTTTTTGCTATGCATATCAAGGCGTGTACTCGCGGGAGAGATGAGTCCTCACGTACGTCCAAAGCTTCCAGTTCAAAATTGAGGGCGTGCATCGGTGTGTGAAAAAGATGTTGCACATGGCACATACCCCAAACCCAAGAGGGAAAGGCAACCATTGCCTTGCGAGGAAGGACAGGTTTTGGGCATCAGCGCTATGGGCCCAGAACCTGCGTGGCTCGCTTAGGCCTAAAGCACACTCGAAAATCACCACCGCTGAGCAACGCGACAACCATCCACCATCAGGGTTAGAGCCATACAGAGCCGTCGCATAGGTAAAACACAGGACGCACGGCAAAATAAGCAAATAACTCACATAAACTGACGAACGAAGGTAGTATGACCCAGCGACTGCTGCCGTATTACTTCTTCTCTCTCGCGTCGCAGGGGTAGCCAAGCAAGGGTGCTCGGCAGCCTTGCCGATGCCAAGCACCAACGGGGCTACGCGTACAAGAACAATTTCACACGGGTATGGTTATGATAGAGAGAACCCCCGGAATTGCCACTAGATTCCGCCGCATCCACCTCACGACCTGAGTCTGCTGTGCCAGCTCTCTGCTGGACAGCCAGCATCACCAGACACCGGACACGCTATTGAGTATCCAGCAGAGCACCAAGGGGCAGTCCAACACACCCCACACCTGAATTTTTGTGTGGACAATTCAGCGTGGTGACAAAGATAGGACGCAAGTAATCCACGAGAGTTTTCCAACACAACCCCCCCAGCCGAGAACACGGCCTGTGCTTCTGTGCCGCGATAGCCGAGCTGCAATGAAGCCATGCGGTGCGACGTCTGCGGTGCTCACAGCGGTGGCCGCATGCGTGGCGTATGCTGTCATATTTTGGGGTGGGCAGCAGCAGCAGCAGCAGCAGTCGGGGTCCGAGGGCGGCGGGGAGTATGAGCTCGGGTCGGGCAAGATGTTCGACTCCATTGCTCCTCGGTACGACCTCATCAACAAGGTGCGGCAACCGCACGGCTCATGACGCCTGTTGGGTGTGTACACCAACATCACGCTCGGTCATGCGGTATCGCACAGCGGTATCGCACAGCAGAGGCAGCGGCAGTAGAGACGATTAACGTAGTGGTGGACAGCCTAACCAGGATAATGTAACCTTTGGCCTATGGTACTGCGCGTATGCACCAGGATCATCAGGATCATGCGCGCGCCCGTCGTGCACATGTTTCCGTTCCTGCAACTGGTGCCCAGGCTGTCACGGCGGTGTGTACTGTAGAGAGCGCTGCCCGGGCCGTTTGGACCCACCGGCATTCCAGTTTCTATTCGGTCGGTAGCTACTATGATACCACCAGGCACGTGGAGGGCGGATGTCGTGTGGGGTGATTTGCCGCCTCTACGAAGCGCTGTTCGTCGAGAAAATGGGCTCGAAAGAGATACCCATGTATCCACACACGGGGGATTAAAGTATGCAGGGAAGCGTTAGACCACCACGGGTAGTTTTCTAGGAATGCGCGTTTAGTGGCAAGCGTGTGAACTCCCTCTATTACACCATCAGATGGCTCCCGTGATTCCCTCCTCACATCTAAATCATCGTCCATCCCTCCTAACCCCGTGGCTTGCGCAGCTCGCTCGCTGCTCTCTACTCTGTTGATCGTGTACTTTTTTCTCATTTCGTCCAAACAGGTGATATCCCTTGGGTTGGATATGCAATGGCGAAGAGCAATGGTTCGAGGTCTCGGGGTAAGAGGACGGCCCTCGCAGTTATCAGTCAACCCTTTTGCTTGGTAGCAGGGAGTCAGGGCTGTTTCGTATAGGGTGAATCATAACATCGAAGTTGCGGCACAGGGAGGGACAGCACCCCACAGAGAGAATGACCGTTACCATGAACGATAGCTACGGGGAGAGGCTCGCACGTATTCCGCTAAACACAGGAGTCCTTCGTGTTTTTTGTGCTTTGCTCTGCTCTGCCCATTCTTGGCGCGAACAAAAGCTGCGAGCTGGAGACCGAGTGGTAGACATGGCCACGGGGACGGCCGACGTCGCGATCATGATTTCCGAAGAACTGGCCAAGCTGGAGGGGGCCCCGGAAGGAACGATCCCGGGAACGGTCGAACCGGAGGTGATCGGGATCGACCCTAGCGCGAGGATGCTAGAGGTGAGTTTTACGTTCGAAGGTCAACGGTGTCAGACTTTCAAACCTTGGTTGTTGGACAGCACACATCTTGCTTGTAGACGAGTGTCGCATGTTCCAGCCCCGAACCCCGAGGCCGTGAAGGCACTGATCTCCGGAATTTCAATTTGATTGACATGGTGGTTGCACCAGTTAGCAATCGCTTGTATGGGTAGCCTATGAATATTTGGAATTGGTGTTGGTAGGAAATTACGCTTCTTTTGATGTGAACGATCTGTTAGAGAATTATGGTGTACCCTGGAGAGGTGCTGCGCGGCTGACCTGCCGAAAGGACTACACCACCATGTCCCAACATCACTACCCTTCCTCTCTGAATGAGTTGGTTCATTTCGGCAAGGGTGTTCTCCCTTGATGGGATCGTCAAGCCAAACTTTATGGTGCCCACGACGATCTGTCAGCGCCGTCTCCGGCGGTATGTTCCATTCTCGTATCACCTTGTCCCGGCGAGCAAGCGGCCCGGAACTAAATCACCCAGAAAACATTGGCTGTTTTTCTGTCCGTCCGAAGGTCACGGTGGCCGGGTAGAGAGTCCACCCGTTCGTCTATGTATGCGTTTGTATCAGACCTAGCCATCCCGGAATCGTCGTCGCCTACACTTTGCAGGTTGGGCGGGAGAAGGTTGCGGAGGCGGGGCTGTCTTCACGGGTACGCCTTCAAATAGGGGACGCTCAAGATTTGGCGGATATCGCGGACGGATCGGTGGACAAGGTGAACGCTTGCACGGGTATGATTCGGGGGGAGGGGGCTTGGCGGCGTTTCATCCTGGACTACTCCGTTCCTGGGGAGGGGACGGGCGTGTCTGTTGACTCGGCGGTGATGCATTCACGGACTATTTCGGGGAGGTTTATTGTTTGTTCGTTCTTTCGTTGGTGTGCACGGCGTTAGGTACCCTTGATACGTGTCTGTTTGGTGTGTTGTTGGTGTTTTTTTGAGGAGTTGTTGTTGGGGTTGCGCATCTCGTAATTGCGTTGGTGTATCACGAGAGGTCGAGTCTAGTTCACAGGTAAGACTGTCCCGCCCGTCGTCAGGCGTACTTCCTGAGCCCCCTACAATCCTCCTACAGTAGTAGTAGACCTGTAACCTTCCACCTTCCACCTTCCACATTCTACATTCTACATTCTACATCCCACGTTCCACATTATTTATTATTTGCACATTCCACCGTCCCTCAGCACTGCGCCGATGCGCCTCTTCCGTTCGGCCGCCCATTTTCATCCAGCTGACGATGGCCTTCGGAATCAGAAACGTCCCCGATCGATCTAAGGCCTTGGAAGAAATCAGGCGCATCATGGCAACACCAGCACTAGACGCGGGGGCACAAGGGGCGACAGAGGACGCTGGCGGTGCGGGAGGACATGCGTCCTCGTCCTCGGTTGTGGCGATTCTGGAGCTCCAGGACCCGGAGTCGGGCTTGCTGGCGTCGGCGACAAGGGCTTTCATAAAGTGCGTTGTTTTGTGGTTGGCAACGCAGCAGCTTGCCTCGGGCAGCCGCGCTGGTCCCCCTCTTAGAGGTTCTCGTTGTAAGGTGGTGTGTCATCGTCGTGATGCGGGACGGTGTGTAACGAGGACGTTTTTTATCTGAAGACATACCAAGTGCGGTATTTTCGAACAAATTTTCCAACACTGGCGTCTTCGGCGTCATCGTCGTCGACGTTTTGTTTCCTGGGTACAGTGTTACCATGTGCTTCGCTTTTGGCGTGTACGCTTTGTGAAGGGCAGTGAAAGAACCAAGCCGCTCGCACGATGTCCGTTATGCGGGCCTTTCAAGCGTTGTATTCTGACATTGTTGTAGAGTTATGCGTCTACGTTTTATCGGCGAAAATGTATGAATGGTATAGACACCAATGCAGGCTCGGGCTTCGCCTTGTTGGCTCGGGTAGATGGGAGACGGAGTTCCGTTCGCCCGCGGCTGGGATGCCCATGATTGTAGCAACGCGTGACGGTTTGCACCAATTGGAATTAGCAGTAATAGTGAAGCGTTCAAGAGGATGAGCGACCGCATACGACGACAACCGAATTTATGTCGCTGGAAGAATGGCAAACATATTTTTATCTGGAATGACTTGGACGTTCGCATGATACTGCTCGAGGGCGTTGCAATCGCCTGAAGCAGGGATCAAGACAATAGATTGATGTTGCCGGCGTGGTGACTGGTCTGATAAATTATGTTCCACATACGCTATTCCCGTTTTGGTTTCAGGCCTTTGTAAAGCCGCCCCCTTCGTGTTGCCCATCCCGAACGACTTGTGACTATTTTTGCGCTTTTACTCCGGCCAACTTCACAAGGAGCCGCCGTCACCTGTCTGTTGGCGTTGAGAGTTTGTACATTCAAAATGCCACAATATTGCGGTGGGACACAAACATATCCTACCGAAACCGAATTACCACCCTATTTTCTTGTCTTCGTGTTCTTGTGCGGCACCTGTCGTGCTTTTTGTATTGTTTCATTTCTCTTGTCGCTGTTGGAGTGCGCTTATCGCTAATCGATTGCTCTTGTCGCTGCCCTGTTGCCTGTGGGGATATCGATGTGTCGAGACAGGTACGGGGCGCCCGTGTTGGGCTGGGTGATGAGCGGCAACGGAGCTGAGTACGGGCACTTGAAGAACTCCATTCTCAGATTCCCCTCGGTGTCGGAGTGGACAGCCCTGATGGGAGACGCAGGCAAGATTCACTTAGTCGCGCCGCTGCCCCCGGGTGCTACGATCTCTGTTTTTTTTTTAGTTGTCCTTAGCGCGGTGCTTATGTGGAGTGCGGAGTCACGGGACTGTCATGCTTGTTAGTCGTATACTCTTTGTTTGTTATCTTGGAAGCTGTGTAGAAACGATCAACCTTTGCAAACACAGTTCGTAGGTGCTCCTCCCCCAAGCGTTCATGTCCCACATTCTTTTGCTTCGTCCCGCGATTATCACGACGACTGAATGGCAAGTCCACGACTGCGATAGTGAGTTTAAGTCCTTGAGAGCACGGGCCAGGTTTTCTTTGTCGTTAGCACTGGTGGTGTTTTTTCAGTGTCGTCTTACCTCCAGTCCGGTGAGCTGTGCACGTTTTCTTTCATGTATCTATTGATGCCTATCTATTGATCGTATTCGTGTTGTGTTTTTTCCCGCTTTGCTCACACTTATATTTCTCCCATAACCCCCCAATATCGTGACTCTTCTAATGTGTACGGCGCCCCCGATAACGCATCATCCCCTCCATTTCAACTGTGAAGGAACAGGCTGTTGCCCCTTGATCACGTCAGTTTTCTCATGCGTATGCGCACGACGACCCCCCCCCTGCGCACGGCTTCGCAGGGCTGGAGGTTTTCTCCCACGAGACGATGGGATTCGGGACGGTTCACCTCTACCTCGCAAGACCTCGACCCAACACCCGATAGAGGGCAATCCTTCCTTCGTCGCCAAGTTGGGGCGACAACGAGGCTGTGGCTTAGTAGAAAAGTAGTTCGTGGAGAAAACGAAAAAACGTTATTGGCAATGAAATCAGTTGGACATTCGGACAAATCAGCAACTGGAGGGATTGCAGCGTGGGGTCTACTGTAGAGTGTTGATCTCTACCCTGCGCACAGATGGATCAATTGTTGAACTCGTTGGAAACCATGGTTTGCTCGCAGTCAGCACCTGTATGTTTTCTGTTAGCACATCTGGACTATTGCGATGGCAACGGTATCGCGATCGTCAAGGAGCCATGTTTTTGGTGTGGGTGCTGCCCCTCCGGGTTTTTCGAGATGACCCTTACAGATTAACGAGTTTGGAATACCCTTTTGAATTCCGAGATCCATTTCATTCATCCCATCCCGGCGTGGGAACGTACAACGCAGCTTAAAACATTTGAAGTTCGTTCGTGGTGGTGAATATCTCTACAGGTGTTCACCGCGAAGATCGTCTTCGGAGTAAATCAGTATTCGTTTTGAAATAGTCATCTCCTCAGTTCTTTAAGGTGTTCAACTTTTCAACGTCGGTTCTTCGACCGATTCATTCTTTGGGCGAACGTGGTTGTTGCCTTTTTTGCCGCTTGACACCTGCTTCGTCGGAGCGAGAGCTTGCGTACTACGCGCACGAAGCAAGATGTATCAACACTGGCTGATTTGTCTGTATGCTCACTCTCTCGCACCCGATTTTCACTGAGTCACCCTCGAAACTTCTCTCCAAAACTCTCTCGAACCCTCACTACAGTAGAACCAAGTTTAATCGACCCTGACTGTCCATCGCGTTCACATGACCTGTCGGTTGCCCCGCACGAGGAAAGCTTAACTTACCGTGCACGCGAAAACGTGGATCGCCGTTACAACTACTCTGGGGGACTGTAAGCATACGAGTTGGGGTCGTCGTCAACTGTGCCTTGCTCCGCCGAGTCCAGAAAATCAAGCCTCCTGAACAGAGTCCTAAGCCTCGCCTCTTTTCGAGACGCGGCGGATTTTTCCTTCACCAAGATCTTCTCGAGCCCCTCGGCAAGACAGCTGGCTTGTTCCCGCTCGCTCTCTAGACCTGCCACCCTGCTCGACCACCGTTTCTCATCCTTTGCTCGGGCGTGCTCCGCTAGACGTAGGCGTGCCTTGAGCGCGGTGATCTTGACCTCCCCTTGTTTCGACACCTGCTGTACAGCTTCTTCTCGCCCCTTCTTGCACGTTTTCAAGGCCTCCTCGAGAGCTTTAGCCTTCTCCTTTAGCCTGTCGTTGTTCTCGCGCTCCGACAACAACTCTCCCTGGACCTCCACCAGGCACGCCTCCGTATCGGCCAGGGTTAACTCCGCTGTCATCAGCTTGCTCGTCATGCCCCCTGGTTGGTCGGCCTGCTGCGGCGGGGTCTTCCTCGCAGCCGCTGCTACGGCCTGTTCTGCCGCCATCAGCCTGTCCGTCAATTCAGCCAGCTTTTGGGTCCTCGCCCACTTCTCTCGCGAGTGGGCTTCGTCCTTCTGCGTGGTTCCACAGCTTGATTCTTTCCCCCGCAGCACCCGCTGGCCGGGCACGTTCTCGTCTGTGCGCGCACGACAAACTTCACAATGGGGGACGGGCTTCTTGGGTTCGGCGGGTTTTTGGTGTGGTGGTGCCGAACCCCCGTCCTCTACTTCTACTTGCATAGTCTCGACGACAGTCTCACTCGCAAGCAGCTGGCCTTTCTCGTCTTGCGTCACCGCTTGTTCCGCGAGCCATGCATGGCGATCTGTGACGAGGCGAGAGGTAAGCGCACATACCTCTGCTCCGAGCTCAGTCTCACGCTTTGACCAAATCCCTCGAGCACTTTCGGAAGCACGCTCTGCCTTGGCGAGGAGCGTTTCGAGTCGTTCCACCTTAGCCTCAAGAATGACGTCTTGAGTGTCTGCCTCGCTCTCGCCACTTGCGCTGGACCATGTCACGTTCTCTAGCATCGCCATCCTCGCTGTTTGTTCATTCTGCAGTAAGCACGCCGTCTGCGATCATTATTACCACCGAAACCCTCGCGTTCGTTCCTTGCATTCAACACAATTTCGAGTATCAGCTGTCGAAACAACTTGTAAGGTTTCTCTTTTCGTTTGAGGGGCAGGTGGAGAAAAGACTTATCGTCACGCACTGCACTACGGACGACAGAATACACAATGATGTCTCCCCTTTCAGATGTGGGCTACAACACTTGTCGGCACTGTCGACACTTCTCTCACCGGGAAAATGAGTTGCTGTTTCCTCGAGGGTTGCGTTACTCCCGAAGGCTCGGAGCTGTCTTTATCCAAGCTTGCCCCCAATACTTTGGCTATGCTTTGTGCCCACTCGCCTGGAAATAGATGTCTACCCGCCACCGCCACCTCAGCTGCAGCGTACGCCTCGGTAGCCGGGAGGTGTATGTGTTTCTCTCTGGCCGAAGGCGGTGGAAGAGAAAGCACGAACGGGCACCCGCCGTTTCACTTTCGATTTGATTCCGAGGAGGCTTTCTGAATCCGGGGAGGGGTTTCTCTTTGTCACCGGGGGGGGTGAATGAACGGCGGTGGTGGGAACGAGAGGGTTGACGCTATGTCTACGCTCGACGATCGCCGGTACAGCACAGTGATCCTTCCCTCACTGCAGCATGTTTCCTCTGCTCGTCCCGTGCCCCACAGAGAGAAACCATGTGTACGATCAACGTTTCCACGCTCGAGACTTCGGGGTCGATGTTGCCTAGGCTTCCACGCTAGCTTCGAACGGCATACGAGGAGCAAGTAGAACCTAAAGAACGCCAACGTTACGCAAGGATTGACTGTAATTTGAACGATTTTCAATCTCCGCAGAAGAGTATGGGTTTTAAGGTAACGACAGCGCCATGAGAAAAAATATCACCGTACATACGGATGCTGGAACGGTTTCGAAATAACCGGCCATCGGTAGCCCCGGTCGGGTTTGAAGCCCTCTTTGTTTCCTCCACGCAATATGAAAGAGCCAGTCCGCACAATAAAGGAGGCACGAAGTTTCCTGATTTCTGATTGGTCACAAACCGTTGCGGTGCAATATTTCAATATTTCTGTAACAGCTTGGGGTTGATTGTAAGTAGTGCCCGCCTACGCGATGAAAGACCATAGTGAGGCACACCTCGCTATGCCGTGTTCTCCTCTGCCAAGGTCATGTTGCGCGAGGGTCGTCGTTCATAATTGAAGCGCATGTCCTTACTCCACCCTTGGGATGCCTCCCACCCATCCCCTGTGAGAAAGAAACGCAGCTCTTCAGTCTTTCGGGTCATGGGTCAAATAAGCAGCATGCATGTACGGGGAATTGTTTGCAGTCAGTCTCTCCGCAGTGGGCCGCGGCTGCCATAAACACAACGACTCGCGCGCGTAACTGCCCGAGTTGAAACCCATGGGTGGGGATCTCTCCGCAGTGGGCTGCGGCTGCCATATACACAACGACTCGCGCGGGTAACTGCCCGAGTTGAAACCCATGGGCGAGGATCACGCAACCAAACAGGACCTCACTGGTGTCTTTCTCAGTACAAGTGTCAAAATTGTAACTACAGATACCCTCGTGAGAGAAAAAACAAAAAACCTCAGGACAACCTACGTACTCCAATCCGCCAGACAAACGACCGCCTCTCCCTACTACGCAGGATGTGTGGAACTGGCTCCACTGCCAGGCTAGAGTGAAACTTGTAAGGACTTCCTGGAAAACGCTCCCCACATGCTACACTAGCACGACTTTGGCGACAAGAGAAGCTTCGCCATCCTCCTCACAGGGGTGCCGTATATCATTGCCAGGCTATTGGGTTGACGCCACTCGTCCCGTCGTGCTCGCGTCCGGTCATAACTTGTTTATGCCGCAGGGACCTACCTCCCTACATCCCTTCACCACGCCACACAACACTTTCAGGACCCCTATACTAAAATTGCTGCCCGGCCCCGCTAATTCCATCCCCGTCAAATCTCCGATTTTCCGCCTGCGTTTATCACCGCCCCCCGTGTGCCTTCCAGTCGAAGCTAGGCATCAACTTCTCGTGCAAGTTCCTGTCCGCCAGGCATGCCCGTAGGCGTTCCAATAGCCTGCACATGCACATGGAGGATGGGACGGCGGTGGGGGTTGACGTTCGAAAAATGTGGGTGCGTAGGAAAAAGGAGGCGTCGCTGGCATTGATTTGCTATCCTGTTTCTGATCAAAATACAGGGAATTAATCTCCTATGAACGCTGCTACGCACGAGTGGGATAGAGAGGCACTGAAGTAATCATAGCGTTGTATGATGATCAATCTGTGCTTCTAAGCGTCACGGAAAACGACCGAAATTTCAGTGCAGCTCTCCCCGTGTTCAGTGCCATTGCTCACTACAAGAGCAAAGCCCAGCGCTTGCAGTCTGGGAGAAGAGGTTTCGGAATACACTCATCCCTCGGTTGAGGACACCATTGTTAACAACAAATACGTAGCCTGGCACGATCAACGTTGCCGTGAGACCACCAACAGCGAGGGATTATCTGCCATTCCAACCATGTTGTGAGGAATAAATCTAGTCGGATTTTGGCAGTAGCCTTGCGATATTCGCTTGGTCGACAAGTGGGCAATTGCAGAGCACACGCAGGTACTGGGTGTTGGCGATGAAGAACAGCGAGGGCGCTACCCGAAATGACGCGGTAGTGAACATCGAAACCACCGAGTTCTCCGGCATCACATTCGTCGCGTGACATCGCCGCTGGTATTTCTTTCATCTCTTCCTGGGCCGCTGTACATCGGCTCGGGCTGGGCAATCACCGGGACCCCTGCAATTATCCATTATACGCGAGCGCTCCGACCCCTCGCTCGGTCATACATCTGCTCCGTCCGGCAGTGTGTGCTCGTTATCGAATAACTCAAACGTGGGGTCACCGGATGCCTCCATGGCTCACCTGGCGGCGGTGTTGCCGTCGTTACTCCTCAGCCACAGCTCGAAACGGTACACATTGTGGTTGTTCTTGCTCTTGTCCACCACCCTTGCCCCGCAGATCTCGTCCCCGACGTCCACCGTTTCCCCCACCAGACCCAACACCATGTTCTCCTGCACGGGACCAAGTCATGCACAGAGAGGGAGAAAGCAGTTATGCGTCCATGAGTGAATGGCGGAACAATCAAGATGCCACACACGGCAGGCATTGACGAACGCGCTCTGCTCTCTTCCCCAGCGACGAAATCAAACACCAAAAGGCAAATGGCCAAAAACGATCTAACCGGCAGATGGAGCAATGCGCACATGCACAAATATTCCAATGAGCCACGACACAGTTCCAAGGTTCCGAAATTCGGCCCGAGTTCTGTCTCCTGCCACAATACAAACACATAAAAAAAAGGCATGTTTCAAGAGAGCACACTCATTCAGCTCCGGCAAGAACCAAGCACCGGCATTCAACACAACAAATTCGGCTTGATTGCTTCCCAAAACTTGGCCTCTGGGAATGACGGCCAGACTCGCGACGATACTTCATGGACGAATACCGAATACCAGGGGGAGGGGGGGAACAAGAAATAATAAAATGTGCGTATCACACCCGGGCGTATCTTGCATGGTGCTGTACGAGAGCGTCCCGACCGTTTTCATGCGTTCACGCCTCTGGGTCGTTGAGAACAGAGGGGCCAAGCACCAAACTAGTGTGCCCACGAAAAACATGCCAACCGACCAAGCGCATCTCATGGGCGACAAATAATCACCCTGGTCTGTATTTGTCGGCAAAACTTCACCTCGAATCGGCAAGCTATCACGAGCGTAACAAGCATTCACTTATTCACTACAGTACACAGAAACACAACCGATAGAATCAACAAAGAAAAAAACGACGGCAAGAAAGATGGGCGCAACCGGTTTGAAAGGCACACTCGTTCTACATCGACCGTAGCGGAGGCCTCACCCAGAATAGGTCGAGCGCCTGGGGGGTCATCTTGCTGCGGCTCTGCCACTCCCCCCCGTGGCTGTTCTCCGGAGCCTCCCACTCCGGCTTGATGCCCTTCTTGAAGATGCTGTACGAGTCGATCACTCGGTCTCCGACCTTCTTCCGCATCGACCCGTCAAACATTACCTGCCGCGTGGGGGGGGGCGTACTCATGTTTGGCGTGCCTTCGCGGTTAGGCCATTGACTGCGCATCCTCGAGAGGACGGAGCATTGTTCCTACAGGGCCGATCGCCGATGGCCAATCGTTCCTTCCTACTTTGCCAAAGGTGGCTTAAAAATGGTTCCTCTTCTATCCAGGGAGTTGCGTGGAGGGGGGGAGTTATTCCTGTTTCCCCGCAATTTCTCCGACAATGGATCACGAACCTCTTTCGAGACGGCGAGTTGTCGTTGCCGTCTTTCCTCTGGGTAGGATCACGACTATGAGCTTCTGACGCATTCTTCTGTCATGTCGTGCACAAATTGCAACGGGTTCTAGCTTGTCACATCGCCTGCCTCCGCTACCATATCGTGACTGCAAGACACCACAAATGCCCAGAGGAGCGGTATCTGTCGCTGCGCAACGTGATATCACGAAGGAAATATCATTTTGAACGCGGCTTGGCTCGTATTTCCCCCCACTTGGAAAAGCCCACAAGGGATTGTGTAGGAATTGGTATAGGGAGTCCCGTATATGGATGAACGTCACCGTACCCCAAAAGAGTGGCAACATCTGTGTGCCTCCCCCCATCAATAGGAAGACCCGCCCGATTTGGAGCTTGTCGAAGTTTGGGTGCACCCTTGTGTGCAGCCTCCTTGAGCATGCCCGAGTCATCTAATTTAGGCAGCCCAGGTGCACATGGAACCTTAAACACCACTGATCCCCCATCAGCCTTGCGGAGAGGCACGTACGGACGGTGCCTGCGTGCTGACGAGCCTCACGGCGGTGCCCGCGTGTGCTGGTGAGCAAAGCCTGCGCTCACCTGGCTGGGCTTGGGGACGTTGTTGTACACCTTCCAAAAATCCTCCACGGTCGCGAACTCCGCAAGGCTCTGCATGCTGTCTCCCCAGTCCGCGCTGGACTTTGCCACCTGTTGGGCGGGGTATCAGAACAAGTGAGATCAGAACAAGTGACATCTCGCGGTTGGCATCACTTTCACGAGCTGGAGAGGTCAACGCTGCTGCTGCGTTTGCGCTGAGAGATGTGTACCAGAGGTGACACAAGATATCACACACCCTCCCTGTAAGCGATTCTCAAAGCTCGAACTTCATCCCCAGGCAGAAAGAGTTGTGTCGTCCAAAACGGCGCGTCTCGTCGGCAGCTTTCCGAAAACGTATCGTTTGATTTATGCATGCTCTCCGCGGCGAATTAATCGGGCCTTGAAGATCGGTCCAGCTGTGTGGTATCATACGTCACCCGTATACCATATGGTACAGCAGTGGAGGTCCCTGTATAGTGCCGGTAGGTGCCCAGAATATTCACCAGCACTATACCGGACCCGCACTATTCCAAGTATTGACATGGGCGTGGAAATTCAGTGTTTGCCCGCCGAAAACACCGGCAGTATACCGGGCATTGGCAATACTCAACCGGCACCCAACAGGGATCCTCACTACTGCTGTACAAATGTGCAAATCGACCGGACGGGGGTGCGGGTATTGGACCGAATCCGCGTACACGGGCTACAGACCTTTAGTCTATACCCACGTTGAAAGGAAGTAGGGGTCAAGTCCAGACCAACCATGAACACAGACACCAACAAGCGACATGTTTCTCTGCCACCCACCCCGCCCGCCCCATCAACAACCTTGCTGAGGTGTACGAGAGCAGCCGACACACACCGTGCACACCGCACACACCCAACAGGTACAGAGCAAATCAACAAAATACAAAAACGACCAACCACACCTTGTGTTCCCAAATACACCACGTGTTCTGGAGTGGGTGAAGCTGCTCTGCACTCCCATTCGCCATGACTGCGCCTTTGGTTCTACCGTCTGCTGTGTTTCTGCGTGGGTTCCTCTGTTCTTGGTGTGGTCTTTGGTGTCTTGCTGCATCGGCTACTCGCGCTGCGCGCTACGCCGCATCCTGGCGACCGGGAGTACCCCCCCTCGGACAGCGCGCAGTAGTACACTTTGCGATGACCCCGACCTGATTACACAAATGTGCCCGTTGCCCGTTGTTGTCGTTGCGTTTGCGCACGCTGCGTAAAGCAGCAGCATGGCAGACGACTGTGATGGTGCCAAAGGACACGATGGTTTCGAAGGGCAAGCTGGTGTCGGTGCCGATTCCGCTGCTGCGGCTTCTATTAAGGACGATGGAGACAGCATTTACCACCGTTTGATCAAGGAGCAGCGGCTCGAGCTGGAGCAGCTCAAGAGGGCGGCGAGGGAGGCTTCACCCAGTCGCAGCAAGTGAGTAGTAGTGAGCTCTAGCATTGATGCAATATAATTGGTGGCACCCATGTGTGTTGTAAGGTCTGTCGGCGAGGGTAGATTCGTAAGTTGCGTCTACTTTGTAAGTGAAAACGCCCTGTGATATCTACTGCTGTACTCTGTGTACGCCGCAGCAGCCGTTATGAAATTCAAATATAAGAGTAGTGCTGTGGACAACAGCAGTTGTTCAGTTGTAGACAACGTGGGGGCGGTACACTGTATGCATGTTGTCGACGGCAAGCGAAGCGTGGTCTTGTGGCTATTGCTGGCACGGCGTAAAGGGGGCAGACTCTATGTATGATCAGGTTGACAACGACGACAGCTGCAACGTTTCATACACATCCACAGATATCCGTACACACACGGAAGTACCTTCATTTTCGTGGGCATCTCCGAGCACGCACGTTGACTGCTGCAGAAGCGAGAGACATGCAACACGCCGGCGCCGGTGCGTCAGCCGGTGATCACGACACAAGGCCGGTGCCCCGTTCATCTTTCACAGCCTCTCGCCTAGACGTAGTGCTGCTTACGATCTTTGTGATGGGATACCCCGGGTCAGTGGGTCAAGCCACACTGGCTCTATATCATCTCCGGACACAGAGCAGCAGTAAATAGTCTGCACCATGTTCTCCCGCCCCCCTTTTCAGTCTTCTTATGCTTGCAAGTACGAAACAAGTTCATCTCTATGCACAGACAATAGTCCAGGGTTAAATTTCGATTTTCAATACCCTGTCCTGTCGGACCCGATCATCTTGCCTGTGTCCGCGCGTTTTGCACCCCTCTCCTGCTTGCCCGGAAAGGATTAGGCATGCGCTAGAGCGACCTTCCTCCGCCACCCTTAACGGCGCCGAAGACACGCTACCACCGTCACCCACGAGCATTACCAGACAACGGATAGTATACAGCGATACCCACGTCAGTGACGGCGGCGGCGGTGACCGTGGTGATGTTACCGGTAGTGCATCGTATGTTGGGGAGCTTTCGGCGGGAGGCCGGCACAATTACGGCAGTAGCACCGCCGATGGTGATCGCCTCGGCGGCGGAGCCGGGGTCCAGCGGTATGCCGGAGTCGGCGACATTGGTGGAGGTTTCTTGGCGGCGATAACGCGAGAGAGGACGGATAAGTCTCGGGGTGGGGCCGGTACCACACGCGGGGGAGAGGAGAGCGGCGGCCGTGCTAGCGCGGAAGGCTTTGGCGGCGACAGCGGGCGATCCTTGCGAGGCGTTCGTGACCCTTTCAAGGCCGTTGCGGATAGCGGCACAGGCCGAAGTGGCAGCAGGGGTGCTGTAGACGCGCAAGGTGTTGTTTTTTCGGCAGCCGACAACTACCACGCCGAGGAAAGGTCTTCTGGGGGCACCGCAGTTGGGTTTGACCCAATGCAGACTGGCGGCGGTGGTGGTGGTAACGTTTCCCGGCGACGGGAAGAACAACCCCCAGTCGAGAAGCAGCCATCATTGACGGCCATGTCGCGGCGTGGGAGTAGAGGCGACGAGAAGATCACCACGGCGGCCGCTTATGCTACGGGCGAGGCTTCCGGTACCGCCCCGAAGGCGCACGCAACACCGGGAACGACGGCCGTGCGTTTCGCCGGCGGTGACGGCGCGTCCGCCATCGCGAACGAGGCCCTCACATCGCCCGACCGGGGGCTCCACTCCGTCTTCGGCGCTGTCCCCGGCGCCGCTTCAGCCTTCGGCAATGTGGAAGAAGGTAGTGGTACCAGAGGGCATGGCGGCGGCCGCGCGCGGACCCGTACGCTGTCGGCTGCCGCCGCGGACGGAGTCGGACCCGTTGCAGGGCCCCGGTCCGGTGACGGTGTCGTCGGCGGTGGTGTCGGCTTCGAGCCGGCCGACAACGGCCGCAGCGACATGGGCCCGCCGGCAGCCATCGAACCGCCGCTGCCCCCGGCTACCAAACAGGCCCACGTCAAGGGTTACGCCGACAGCAGCTTCGTCGGGCGTAAGGCCGCAGAATCCCCCTCGCGCCACCGCAAGGTCAACGATTACGCGACCGTCGGGTTGGTGGAGCGCGAGGGCGGTGCGGGCGGGCGTTTTTTGGGGAGTTCTTGGGCTGGCGTGGGCGGCAGCAGCGGCGGTTACCAGCTTGGTGGCCTGGCGGCGGCGGGTAAAGGTGGTGATGCTTTCAGAAGCGCGTCATGGGCGGAAAAGCTTGTAACCAAGCGGGAGGAGCAGGTGCAGAGCCGACTAGCCTTTTTCGTGTTTTGTTGTTGCTGCGACTATGCAGCGTTCGATTTCTGAGCAAACCGTATCGATAATTCTTGACCCCCCCTCCCCCCCACACACTCCCCGCCCTGCTCTTCTTTGCACCTTTTCGAAGGAGAATATTTGTTAGTCACAGTAGTCGCAGAAAAACGTCCCGTTTGAAGTACGTTTTGGTCCCCACTACGCTTGACACCCCTGCCCCAGAGCGTGTTGGTGAAGCAACTGGAGCGCGAGCTGGCTTCGACGGTTTCTGCCCTAAAGGACGAGAGGCGTGAGAGGAGGGGGCAGACCGAAACGCTCAGGCGCAAGCTCGAGGAAACCAGGGCCACCGTGGGTGACAGAGAGGCCGAGCTCCAGAGGTAGGCTTGTCAGGGTAATGGCTGCAGAAGCGGGAGGCGCCTGCCTCTTTGAGCAACAGCGACGCTTGCTGTGTTCGTCGCACGTGCTGTATTCGTCGCCCATATGAACCCACTTTTTTGGCCGAGCAGTAGAGAGGTAGGCTGGCGTACTTGCTGCGGCGGCGGGGTTACCCCTCTTCGAGCAGCAACGGCGTTTGCTTTGATTCGTGGCTTGACCCCAGCTAAATGCCAAGAAGAAGCCTCCAAACCTCGATACAGGCTGAGGGATGGCCGCCCTTCGTGCGCAGCGAGGCTGCACTCAAGGCGTTTGGGGACAGCCATTCGTCTTGAGCGTTGTTTTCGTGTGTCAGTCCATCCCCCGGGGGCCTTTCCACTGAACGCTTTGTCCCCAAGAAGGTCAATCTGCACGCAAGCAAGCCTAGAGGAGTAATCCCGACGCATGGTCTAGGCGTATGTAGAAGATACTTAATTTTGTATCGGGTGTGTCCTCGAGACGTTCCATAGGCTCAAGCGAGACAGGGCTGCCGTGAGCGGCGCTGACGCTCCATAGTTATCTTGAGTTTGTTGTTTCGGTGTAGTGTGGAGGCGATGACTCCGGCTAAACCTTCAAACACTGCAGTCGCACATCCCCGTACACGACTACCCGGTAGGGCGGAAGGTTCGCCGAATTTTCTGTTCAGTTTGGTGTTTTCATCTGTTTGATGATGTGTTCGCGGAGACCAACAAGAAAGTGGAGCCCCCGAAAGGCGTCCACACCCAATAACAATTGCCCCAGATGCAAGTGCGGGTTTCAGTGGCAACAGAAGTGAGAAAGTATTCTCTCCATGTGCCGGTATCGAACGATAGGTTTTCTCATTGCTATCGTACCGTGTGTGTCTGCTCGCGATGCAGACGAGAGCGCATGACAACGACTCTGATGGGAGAGCTGGAGGCTCTGCAGTCTCGCTGCGACAGGCTGGTTGCCTCACGAGAGGAGAGGGCCGAAGAGGCGGACAAGACCATGGCCCGACTCCGTGAGGTATCTACGAGATCTACGTCGGGGAGACATGTTGTAACGCCGTTCTTAGCGAGTCAGAGCAGTGGAGAATGATTTGGAGTCGGGTTTGAGTTTGGGGTGGGCAACGCGCGAGGCACGTCCCAGCCTTTCCTTGCGCTTGGCTGTGCCATGTGCCAGGCCAGTCGTAAGGAAATTCTCGATTCCACCCTGCTTTCAGCTCTAGTGGCCGGCCTTTCCTGGCCTACCTTTTGGGTAAGATTTCCACCACGGACTCTTAATTGTTTTTTTGGTCGCTTGCATCTTCATCCCCTCCCCCCCCCCCCAACACACAATGGTCTAACCGCTGAGGAATGCAAAACATCAGTACCCCCGCCCCTCCCCCGACACACTACTTGTACCCCGCTGCTGCCCTTGGAAAGGATAACCGCGAGCTGGAGGCTAGGTTGAGGCAGGCGGATGCTGCCGCCGCGGAGGCGCGGTCAGCTCGGGCAGGGGCGGACGCGGAAAGAGTGCGGATGGAGAGAGACTTACACTCCGCGCTAGCAAAGGTGGGTGCAAGCGGTGAAGGTTCCATACCGGCATAGTCTAAGAAAAATAAATACTAGAATACAGAAGAGTTCATTCCCGTAGCTGCGACGATGGGTCTTAGACGGCGCAGGGTTGAAAGTGCGGTGGAATAGCTCCAAGTCGTGTTGCGGCTTTGAGTAGAAGTGGCAATACTGACGGGGGAATTTTGCTGCTTGGAGGGCGGGAGTTTTTCACACGACGCGATGTGCTTTTGTGCCTTGTCCGTGTCAAGGTTTCGCCGTGGAAACGGTGTGTGGCAATATGGTTCCATCCGTTTTGACAGTTTTGTGTTCCGAGTCGCACCGCGCACGTGAGGAGTCATGGAGCGATCCGCGGATTTTGCGCCATAGAAGCGAAATGCTTCGTAGGCGCATTTGCAACCAACAGACGGGTGTGCATTTACACCTGGGAACCAGGTCATAGCCGCTGACTATGATTACAAATATAGACCACGAGGCGTCGGCTAGCGTCTCAACCCCCGGGGCACTTACGGGGGAGTCCCAGGAGTTCCAAATTGTATGCACGCAGTAATTTCGTTGTTTGTGTTGGGCTCACGAAGGCGGGGGGGGGGGGTGTACTCATAGTCGTGCATGCCGTAATCGTTAGACCATTGACCTCGCATCCCTACAAAGCCGGGACGGAGCACGCCGGGTTCTCACCGGACCAGGCTCTCACATCACCAAGCGCGAAGCGCCGTGAGGTATTTGGCGAGTCGCATGAAGGGTGAGCTGCATCCTGCTAAGGGTGTTCGGCATCTTGTGCTTACTTCCTTGCGTACGGATGACAGCTACGTATGACTTAATTTATTTTCTGGTGCTTTCACTTCCAGAGACAGTTGTAAGCACTGTGTAACTGCCTCGAGGAAGCTTGACCATTTTAACACAACGTGGTGCGATCATCCCCCGTTGCGCGGAGTGAGGGTTCTCGACCCCGCACAACATGATCTACTCGACCACCATTATGGTTACCGCCAAAAAAAAAAACGAGGTAAAAAAAAAAAAACGGTAACCTGGTTGTCGAGTTCACGAAGTGAATTGGCTTGTTTTACAACGTCGTTGCCAAGCGACGAAAACCCAATCCCGATGGCAAACACCGAGTGGGGGGCTTGTTTTACAACGTCGTTGCCAAGCAACGAAAACCCAAACCCCGATGGCAAACACCGGGGGGGGGCGGGGGGGGGGCGGACTAAGTACTTACCGCCGTCTCTATCTTTTGAAGAAGCACTTCTAGGTTAGCGCTAGACACTATCCCCCCCGTCTTACCCGAAACGCTGGATAGGTAACGTCACTCGAGAAAAGCGCGGAGGAAGAAGCGGGCGCTGCGACGGCCGCGGCAGACAGGGCGGTTAGGGTGAGGGTTAGGTTCGGGTTAGGGTTGTTCTTAGGCTTACCATCAGCATGCTGGATTTAACAGACGAGTCATGGGGGCTCGACAACTGCAGCGGCATCCCTCCTGCATACCTGAGATGTTTTTCCTTGGTGGCGGCCTGGCGGGGGAGAAAAATACGACGCGATTTCGGTACCAACTTGTTTTTACTTCGCTGGGTAAAATCGGTTTTCCTTCTGCACGGCTGTCTTCAGCGTGAGCAATGCGCCTGGTGTTCTCCCTGCTTTTTTCCGCTTTCGAAGTGGACGTGCAGGATACCTTTCGTTTTGCTGTGAGCCACGCCTGTGTCTGTTTGATCTGTATTGTCATCGTTGAGACGCTACCATGACCATGGCCGACATCGACACCAACGCTTGGGCTGATCCGTTTGGTTCTGCTCCTCTTGTCTGGTGTTGCCGTTTTCATGTGACTGCTGCTGTGGTACTGTATCAGGACCTTCGCGACTCGAAAGGGGAGTGCGAGGAGCTGCGGTCAGAACTGGAGACCCTGCGGAGGCGTGTAGAGGAGGAGGGGACCGGGCGTGATGTCAGCTCCCTGCGGGCACAGGTACCACGAAGGGCCGGACGTGCTGTATGTGGCACCATCATTTTTTGCCTGCCAGGCTTTCGTAGACTGTTGGTTTCACACCACAAAAAGAGTTGCCGTTCTTCTGCGCCGTGTGCAAGGGTCTGGATATCTCCGATATCAAAAATTTGCAGCACATGTGTACGACCACGGATCGGAGAGGTCAACAACGCTGTTTATAGGCATCCTCGTTGAGCAAAAATTAGGTTGGCGCTTCCTTGCTGCTACAACAGTGTTCGCTTCCTTCACTTGGTGTTCTCCTCCTCACTTACCCTTAAAACATTCGCATAGCATCGCTAAATAGTCAAGCGGTCACAAACCTTCCCCCGCTTCTCAACTCTGCTCTTCTTGAAAACTCATCTATTTCGGGGGCCGGCCTGACCAATTGCCTTCCAGAGGATTGACCTTGTTCGTTGTGCTTGGGTTCTCTCCCTCCCACGACATGACAGGTGGCGGACCTGGAACGGCTCCTGGAGACAGCAAACCAGAGATGCGTGGCTCTCGAAGCTAGGCTGGGTTTGCTAGAGAAGGAGCTGATGGAGGCGGAAGGGGGCGAGGTGCGCTCGTGTGTTTTCGCTGGAACGTATGTGATGATGTCCCAATGTCAAAGAAATCATGACCGAACTGGCATCGTTATACCGCAGGATAGCCCCCAAGAAGGAAAAGATCGGTGTATCAACATTTCCACACATTGTTGTAGCATATGTCACATTGAATGCCGGAAGTAGCTCTATTGGATGTTGTTCAGGTGCTTTATTTGGGCGTCCTTTGTTGCCCGTACGTGCGTACAACCGCGCACGGAAATGGAAAAGTTATCTTCTCGTCCCACGGGTATGTTTGGCTTTCGTACGGACAATTGAGCAACGGCGACGAATCGTCTGCGTCCGCGTGAGTGGTGACATCCTGTACTGGTGATGAGGATCATGCTCCAAATAGTTGTCGTGCAGCGGCCTGAACTCTTTCTCTGCCCCATGCCACACCTTCGAAACTTCCTTCTTAGACACAGCTGGTCGGTCGTGAAACCTTTTGTAGGGTGACGACCCCCCCTCATGATCGCGTGTATGTACTGAATTTTCCCGAACCGGTTCCCTCTTTGCGTGTTTAGGTGGAAGCACGCGCGCGGCTGAGATGGGCGTTAGGCCAGCTGGGGGAACCTACCCCTACTCCTCCCGGGCAGCCGCGCGAGCGCCGAGACACGCAGAGATCCCCCAATGGAGGTGGGGTCGGCCGGGGGTCGGCCGACAACGGGATCGCCGGCGACCCTTCGGGGCAAGCCAGCGGTGACGCCGCGGGGCCTTTAGAACGGACGCCAGGGTCGTGGGAACGACCTCTGCGGTTACTCTCCTCGCCACGAAGCGACGAAGCGAAGGTGCCTAGCGCCGGGGAAGGGTTCGGCGGCGGTGGTAGTGACGACGGCGGGGGAATCCTTCCTGGGGGGCGCGGGGGTAGCGAGGGAGAAGCCGATGCGGCGGCTTCCGCTGACGCGGTGGCGGCGGTGATGGTCGGAGGAGCGGAGGAGACGGAGTACCGAGAACCCAACTGGCGGAGCTTGGTCCCCGCCTTGTTTCCCCCCGGATGGCGCGACTTCGCGGCTGGAGAACTCGGCGCTGGTAAATCCGTCGAAGTTGCGGTCCAGCCGGCGGCGGTGGGGGCCGCCTACGTGGACCGGCCCGACGGGGCTGTTGTTGACCGGCCGGCGGCTACACTGGGCAGTGGGTTTGCGAGGGATGAGGCGGGAGGGGTGCGGGGGCGACAAGACAGCGATGGCGCTGCCGCCGGTTTTGATGCCACCACACGAGCTGGGGCTCGGCGGTTTGGGGGAGGGCCGGCGTCGCCGGCAGGGGAAACCGCCGAGATGGATCATGATGGTGATGGTGCGTCGGAAGAGAGAAGAGAGGCCACGCTGGACCACTTGACGGCGGAGGAGCGCAGTTTCGCGCTGGAGGGAGGCGTGGGAATGGAGTACGGAGAGTGGCGGCACGAAGATAGCCACGGGCAGCTGTACGACGGGATGGGGCTAGCAGAGGATATCTCTGGTACGGAAGATGGCGATGGCGGCGGCTTCGAGACGGAAGGACACAGGGTGCTCCGTTACGGACACGGTGCAGTAGACGATGACGCCGTTTTCCCCGGCGGGCATGGGTCGACGTCCCGCCTAGGAAATTTCCAAGATTTTTCCCGGCGGCGACAGCCAGCCGCCGTCAGAGCAAGCTCACTCGAGCCTCGCGGCCAGACAGGTGGGAGGGGGGCGGGCGTAGTCGCGCCGAGCTCCCACAGGGCGGGTACCCGGCGTGCTCGCGCGGACCCCTCCGCCCGAAGTCGCCGCCCGCAAGCCAGGGAGCCAACGCGAGCCTCTCCGTCTCCTCGCACACGACCGAACGGCGCCAGAAGGACGCAGGCATCGTTTTCTTCTTCCGCCGGCCGGGAGGTCCGGGGTAGTAGTAACGCCCCCCGGCAACAAAGAGTCAGCGTCCGCGTCCCCGGCGCCCGTGCTGCTACCACGCTACCGGACACCAGGCACGGTAGGCCTCCCCGCTCCGCTACCGGTACCGGCGCGCGTGGGCGACGGCACCTGAGCGCCCCGCCTTCGCACCGGGCGCAGCCGTGGGTCAAGACGAAGAAGAAGGGCGGGGCGGTCGGGAGTTCCTTTGCCGTGGGAGGCGGGGGAGGGCACCTGGCGGACACCACGGACGTATCGCTCGGCAGCGTGTCGAATCCACGGCGAACAGCGGCGCACGGTAGTCCTTCCGTCGTTGACGTTAACCCTGGCGTTGGACCCAGCGGTGCGACTCGGCGTAGCGGTGGCGGCAAGAACTTCGCGGGGAGGTATTCTTCGCAACGTGATAGCTTTAGAAGTAGCGGTGCTAGTGGCACCGTTACGGCGGTGAGCAGAGGGCCGCCAGCGGCGTCGGCGTCGGCGTCGGAACGCACCCCACGGGAGAGAGCCTCGACACGTTTGGCATCGGCAAGGTCGGGCGGCGGCGGTGGTGGCGGCGCCAGGGAGCACGTGTCGTTGATGCGGAGGAGGCGGGGACTGAGGTCGAGTTTGGCGCCGTCGCGTACGAGCCCGGGGCCTGGTGGTGGTGACCGGAGGCTGGGAAGGGGTGGCAGCGGGGGTGGGTTGGCAGGGGCCGCGGTAAACAGCAGCACCTGCAGCAGCATCCGCGCCTGGAAGCCGTAGCGCTTGTCGGCTGATGGGAGGAAACCTTTTCCTTGTTCTACTCCCTCCTAAAGTATGGTAGCACTAGCATGTTTCGTTCAATGCTCTCGTCCTGTTCTCTGATGCCTGGCTCAACGGCAGGCAAACGCCGCCGATCGATCGTAGGTTGCGGGCACGTCGGCCGGCAACGGGGGAACAATCTGTGCGTTGCAAAACAAGGCTACCACTGTTTTGTTTTGTGTATTTTTGTTAGCAATAGCATTACTCCGGCGGAAGGGGATGTCGAAGTTTTTTCGAAAGGGACAGGATGTTGACATAGTGCCGGTTTCATTAAAGGGAGGACTTCGGACCGAGAGAGGAGGGCATTGCCGTTTCGTGTTGCTAACCGCCACCCTTTGCGTGTTGGGTTATGGGTGTGTTGTTGTGTTGTGATGTGTTATGGTGTGTTGTGTTTCGTCCCATAAGTTCTGGAGCCAGTCTAAACCTTTCAATATTTATTTACCGTATCAGCCGGGGTCGCAGGGTATTCTTGCTCACCAACAGAAAGATCGGCGTAAGGTTGCCGATACCATAATGAACGGATAACGACAACCTGAAGCCTGCCGCCTGGCGTTTTCGTATGACCCTCAAACGCATCAGAAGCCAGAGAGAATGGAACAGCTGGCCGATTCCCCCTCTTGGCAAATGAATCCCAGCGCCCTACCGGTACTTGACATTCCAATCTGTACGACCCGATCCCCGCTCGTTTTTTGCGACGGGCGTGACTTTGGGGGGGAAAGTCTACACGTTGTAGACCTAAAATACGCACCTAACCCTAACCCTTCAGTCTTGTTCGGCTGATAACAAAGGACAGGCCGATCCAAACCGGCTAACGGTACAACATATGTCGGCATGTGTGGGTGTTCCCTCGATGTAACCTCATCACTGAAGAATCGCCCAGTAGCGGGCGTTGCTGTTACGTTTTTCGTTCGATTCAGTGGGGTTGATGTCGTCGCCGTGATCCGATCGGAAACCTCTTCCCTCGATGAGCACCGTACTCGAAGAAGTCAGCGCCCTGGTGCGCGTGTACCGCTGAGCAGACTTATCTTGACCCCACAAGTGGCGTCAATTTCGGCGTTCCTTTGAAGCAAGCTCAGAACGCTCTGTGCATACACAATCGTGCGTCACGAACCATGTAGATCCTGTCGGGAAGCTACACCTCAACAAATACTGAGTAGTTTCCCGTTCACCAAAATCGGAAGAGCCCCCTCTCTCCGTCGTTGACCTGCACGATCTTGCGCTTCACCTCGAGCGATGAAAATCCTCCCTGGCAGGTGGTGCGTATTGGGAGAAGATATGGCGTAAGATATGAAAATCATTGCAAAGATAAACATTGTTATTCATTCCATGCAATCGTTGAACAAAAATACTGCGATATGGCACTTGAAACTTCATGACCACCATTGGAACGTCAGGCAATGAAAATGACCTACAAATAGTATTCTCTTTGACATACTTTTTCACTCCCGTCTATCACGAGCGCCAGTCGGGTCGATTCACGGCGTGACCAGGCTTTCACTTTCACTCTCGTCACATTCTCGTCCTTTGCCGCCGGAAGGACGTATTCACCTGCCTAGTAACTTAACACCAGCATTGAGTTTGCGAATGTCAACGAAACCAGAGGGTCCAAACTCCAGATTTCAACTCGATCAAGCAGTTGACACTTCATTTGTGTACCTTCGCCGCGAGGTACCGCTGGAGCTCTGGGCCGGAAAAGCGCCTCGCCATATCCAAAACCGATTCCCCTGCCGGACTGCCATCATTCACCGCCGCTCCCCGATCCACCAAATACCTTGCGTGTTCGAACGATCAATGCGAGTGAGGTATCGCAGTAAATGACTGCTGTACAGACCATGTTGTCGGAGTCAACATTCCGCGTGCGGCCCGTCGATGACTGCAAATACAACGGCGTGAAGCTTTGCGTGAGTTCATTCATTCACAAGAAATCTGTGCATCTTGTTGAAACTGTGCAATGAATCACACTGCGCACGAAGTTGATCTCGGCCGCATGGGCACTTCACAAAATCCTACTCGAAGAAGGAATAGCTTATAGCAGCTGCGGCCTGTTCCCAAGTATTGAGACAAGTTCCTCTTTCAGCTCTGTTTATGTTCAGGTCAACACTACTATTCGACAGGCAGGCTACATACTTTGGTTCTGCTACGTCATGTTTTGATTGGCAGGGAGACTGCACTGAGTGCATCATGTTTTACCCTGAAATGGCCTCCCCTCCACGCTGTTTTCAACCTCCTAGAGTGAACAGTTCACCTGGTCATTACGAGGTCTCCTTTGACCACGGCTTGCATCAACGGAGTCCAGCCAACCTTGTTCTTGAGGGTCAACCTCGCTCCCCCGATCTGAACCAGATACCTTCGCTCCATCAAAAATGCAAGAAGAGTATCGGGTACTGGATGTGAGTTTCTTGGTTACACAAAAGAAAGTGTCGCCTTTATCTACGTAGCGTATGGTCATCTAGACTCGAGATATTTTTCAGGCGACAAACCAATTATATTAGATGCGGAGCGCATAGATGGAGGTGCGGAATTCCTTGTTGCCACAGAAACCTGCAGCCTCGAAGAAAGAGTGAAAAATATTGATTCGGAGAAGAATGGGAGAATGATCGGATGCACCAAGGACCAAGGGGGCATTTGGACTCTGGTCAGGAAGATGACGCACCTGCCGACACGAACGTGGGGCAGGCTTGTCTATGTACAAGAGGAAGCGACAGAGGTGCGAAGGAACAAGGGCGAACACTTAACCACGGGGTCAGGACGTCTGTGATATCCGATATTCTGACGGTGTTGTGGGTGTCGGACACGGGGTGACATAAAACGTTTGATTGAGTGAACAAAGGTCAAGGAAAAAACGAGGGAAAGACAGGGGATTTTTGGCCATATGTATTTTTGCGGGATGAAAGTGAGTGAATGCTTGGGGTCCAGTACGAGCGGGGGGACTACCAATAATGCAATCCAATGGTTCGCCTAGCTAGTCGAGCGGATTCACCCTTCTGGATTCGAGTGGTGCTGGTTTCTAAGGCGTTCCCCCGAGTTAGTTTGGTCGGGTGGGGGCTATCTGTTCCTCGACAATATACCAAAATTGGAAACACCTGTTGGTTGACGATAGTATGTGGAGTCCACGTTGGGACATTAACCCGTCGTGACACTCTACGTTTCTCTGGGTGCGAACAAACTACGTTGTAGTAAAATTCGGAACTCCCCAAACGCCAAGAGGTGCGATTCCCTGCTTCCGCGTACTCATCTAAACAGTGTTGATTGGAAAATGTTTGTTGCGTTCTTGCGACAACAAAAACAGTAATTCGTGGTCCGTTGGATTCTATAGAATACAAATGAGATGGGAGAACCCAAAGCTGCAAGGGACCGAGTCGGTTCAAGCAAATGCACCTGGTGAGTTCTTTGTTTCCAAGTACGGCGGCAACGCCAAGAGGAGACGTGCCCGAACTGTCCTGGAAGTCCACCTGGCCACAAGTGAATAAAAAAACAGTGAAATGTGGGGGGCCGAAACGCGGTGTTCCTCTGCTGCCATTTTGATGATGTTGGTCGTTAACTACAGTCGACCACCCAATGCGCTTGGTCTCCCTCTGTAAACGCCGTCCATGAACGCAAGGTGCCAAGAGCCACTTAGATATTCACTTCTCTAGCAATGTCGACGGCAATGGACATGTATTGGTTTCAGGTCTTCATTAATGAATAAAACTCCACCTTTCGCAATACGTTCACAGGCAGCACATCATACTGCACTGTCAGACTCAACCCGCTGAGCACAACCGCGACACGCACAAATGTCCTTATTTTAACCCCATACCGATCGCTTACGAACCCCGCTAAAGATACCAACTTTCCAAGCAGCATGGTTTCAATATGCGGCCGAAGATTCAGCTACTGTAATAGTCGACGAGATAGAGCTGCATACAGTAGTTGGTGCTTCGCGGGGGGCGTATCACGACCGCAGTCCCTTTTTTGAGCTTGCGTGAAGAATAGGGTTTGAGATGAGTGCTTCAATCCGAACGGCTCACGTCCGCGCCAGCCTCGACAAGGAGTCTGGCCACTTCTAGGTGCCCCCCGATGCAGCTCCGTAGAAGAGCGGTACGACCATCCTTGTCCAGGGACGTCACAAGGTGCCCGTTACCCCTCAGGAGTTTAGAGATGGTTGCGGCGTCGCCTGGACGGCGATCGATTATTTCGACACGACAGTCAAGGTACGGACTGATTTGTCGTCAACCCGATTGATTTGTTCCCGCGGAGCAAAGAAAAGATTCACAAGGGAGAATGAAAACTTAACGGTTGGAAATTAAGGCTGGTTCGATTGGAAATCCAGCAACTTCATCTTTCGTGTTTTCGAACATTCACAATGAGGTTTCGGAGCTTTATCCATAGCTTTCCCGACAACAACCGACGTGCGCGCTGTTCACCGGTGCCACATACTATTGTTGGCTACGATAAGATCGTGGTGGGTTCGCTGCAACTGCCAGGTCCATCTTATGGCCACAGGTAGTGCGTGCCGTGCCCTGAGAAACCTCTGAGAGAGGGGAAGGAAATGAGCAAAGCCAAGGTATTGCTGCCCTTCCTCAACCGAAGAGGTTCGGAATCAGGAAAATCCGACAACGATCCCATAGCCGACCGCAGGAAGAGCCACACCCGCCGCCGTTGCCTTACATCAACAACCGAACGAACCTGCGTCCGCGGCTGACCAAAACTGATCTGAGGTGACTGCTCCTTCCGTCCTGAGGTAGCACTCCACGAGCAGGTGGTTCCTATCAGCAGCAATGTCCAAGGCCGTCAGGTTTTCGTTGTTGAAGGACGCCAGGTCCGCCCCAGCTTCAACCTGGGTTCAATTGAAATAGCAAATAACGCATGACCACAGGGGGGGGGGCATGAGTGGAGCTGATATTCCTTATCAGCACAAAAAACGATACTTTTGACCGGATTGTGTGTGATTCCGGTAATCATCATGGAGGAAAATTTGG